AAATGAAGAGTGAATAATAAAGTATTGGCCTCCTGGGTTAGAGCAGTGCGCTTGTGCTCTGAGACGGTTGCATGTACCTGGTTTGATACCCACAGCCTGCACTCCCTGAGCAAGACCCTTAACCCTACACTGCTTCCTAGGTGCCACACAATGGCAGCCCACTGCTCCCCAAGGGGATTGGTTAATATCAGAGATACATTTCTCCAATGTGAGATCAATAACGTTAAATCATGTCCAGTGTATGATACTGGTTGTGCCACCAAATTCAAGTACACAGCACTGGTGTAAATCACATTTCCCTGCAAGATGCCATGGCCATGGCCATGTCGTTTGCTTGCTATTTATACCTTTGCTGGTTGTTGAAATGAGGTCCATCACAGAACTTTCTGTATTAACCAGGCTTCATTTTATACCTACCTAAAAGGACTTTAATATACACTTTAATATTTATTTTAACTGTAGTCTAAAGCCTTCAGCTGATCCAAAACGCTGCAGCAAGAGTTCTGATGAAAATTAAAAGCTAGCTTCTCTTCATTGGCTTGCTGTTAAATCCTGAGTTTAAAGTCCTCCTTCTCACATATAGTGCCTTAAATGGCCAAGCTCCATCTAATATCAGTGATATGATTGCTTCTGATATTCCCAACAGGGCATTTTGCTCTCAATCTCCAGGTTTACTAGTGGTTCCTAGAATTTCCAAAAGTAGAATGGGAGGCAAGTCGTTAGTCATCAGGCTCCTCTCCTGTGGAACCAACTACCAGTTTTAGTCCGTGAGGCAGACACCCTGTCTACTTTTAAAGGTAGGCTTAAATTTTTTCTTTTTGATAAAGCTTTTAGTTAGAGTGACTCAGGTTATCCTTATGCTGCTATAGGCTTAGACTGCTGGAGGACATCATTCTGCTTCATTATCTCTTCATTATCTCTCTATTCTCCCACTCTGCAGAATTTGTTAGTTAAATCTCTAATGTTATGCTCTCTCTGCTTTTTCTCATAGTAGCTTCATCTAGTCTGTTCCTGTTTGGCTGTACGACCATCCTGGAGAGAAATATAAGTTGTGCTGCTGCCATCAACACCTTTGTTTATAGATATTTGATATCGGCCTATTTTTCTGACTATGACTATGAGTTCGTCTGCCTGGCTGTGTGTTTCCTGGACTGGGCCGCCTGTGCAGCTGGTTGACAGTTTGTATCTCTGCTTCTTATTATATGTCTGCTTCTGTCTCCTTGAGCCCCAGTCGGTCTCAGCAGATGGCCGCTCACACTGAGCCTGGTCCTGCTGGATGTTCTTCCTGTTAATAGTGAGTTTTCCTCTCAACTGTTGCTACAAGCATGCTTGGTTTGAGGGACTGCCTTTAAGTCAATGAGTCGATGCAATCAACTGGTTCTCCTTAGATAGAAAAGGTTTTTCCAGTGTAGTGCCTTTTGTATCTCTGCTTCTTTCTGCAATTATTTAACTTACAAATGAAATCAGCAAAATAAATTGAATGTTTATCATAAGATTTATCATAATTCAACAGTAAATTTCACATGAATTGCAATCATCCTTTTTTTGCGAAATTATTTCACCCAATCTTCATTTCAAGCATGAACAATGTTCATACTTAAGTTTGGGGGAGGATATACGACCGAGCTGGGACTGAAATAATGCTTCAGAGATTACTCATACCTTCATTGGGCTCAGTTTGCAGTCAGTACTCATCAGTCAGACTTTCCCCACATCGTATTTACATTTCTCTGTTTTAGTCATCCACCACTTTAACCCCTTAAGAGCTCATAAAATTTAATCTGTATGTATGTGTTTGCCTTCTCACGAATAGGCAGGCATACACAAAGAGATGCAGAATGAACAGGGAGAGGAGGTAGTGATTGTTACATTTCACCAATAAAGCTACAAGGTCTCTAATCTGCCATAACAGGAGTGTGCATGCTGATGGATGGATGGATGGATGGATGGATGGATGGATGGATGGATGGATGGATGGATGGATGGAT